TAAAATTGAATTTCAAAAATAGAATCACACAAAAGTTTTGGGGCTAAAATAACCTGAGTCCGTTTCTGTTACATACGCTTCCAAACAAAACTGTCTAAACTTGTTAATATTTTAAAATCCAGCATAAAAAACTAGGCTAGAATACCAAATTTTATGTCTATACCTCAACACGTTTCGGAAATATTAAGGAAAAACCATCTTCACGGGAGCCCCTTTAAAAGACCGTAGCGCCCTTAGGGGACGTTTGTCGACCTATGTTTATATAAACTTTTCTTCCTATTTTAAGCTCTAGAAATCGCTGGTAGAACATTTTTCGGAACGCCCTGTATATTGTTTTTTCTTTTGTTGTATATATACCTGTAAAGCAGTGGCTTTAGTCGATTTTTTAATCATAGTCTAATTGATTGGCAGAATTGCGTGGGAAATACATAGTCAACCTACTTGAAGACGTTCTAACCAGGTTTCATTCATCAGGTAGCATTGAAGTCTCCAAGTGAAACTCGGCACTATACAACTTCAATGGACAGCTTGACAGAAAACTCGCTGCGCTCTATCAGCTGTAGAAATCAAACCAAACCAATGTTTGATATATTTTAGGATACCTGCGTTGAAGTCCCCAAAATTTTAGAGAGGTTTCGTTTCTGATGCAACATTGAAATCACCACCTGGACCTCGGTACTAAATAATTTCAAAGCTAGTTTCTGTATGGCTGCGCTATGTAAACTGAAGAAAAACAAATCAGATATAATCGAGCCCATTGAAACGTTCCTATATCGGTATTTCTTTGTGTACCTGTTGCTCTAAAGGCCATTGACTATAGTTACGTGCTCATATACATAGTGAATATCGTACTCACGCAACAGCAGGAAAAAACAAAAAGACAGGCATTGAATTCCGAGTAAGTGAATATTATAGGGATATCCTTATAAGCGATCTGTATACAGGGTGTCCGAAGATCCTATACTATTAAGAAAGAGCCGTATCGTTAATCGTTCCTACAATTGTAGGACGCCCTTACGGTCTTCATGAATTTCATAGTCTTTTCTGTCCTTCAGAAAGACAAGGGTATTTCTAGATTTCCACTTTTTCGACTGAGCGATCTATTTTGAGGCTATATTTTCTTTTTGAATTCTGAGAAATTTCATCAGGCTGATAAAACTCGGAACAGTAGAAATCTGAAAATACCCCAGTCTTTCTAAAGGAGTTAAAACTATATGAAAATCAACGAATATGAAGCAGTGGTTATGTTGGGATCAAAAAATGAAGTCTCATCTATAACGTATAAAAATGTATGTTTGAAATTTACGAATTGGGTCCACCCAACGCATATTCACTGAGGTCATCTGGTGAATGTGACTGCACTAAATATATATTTGGAAAATCCTGCCAACAAGTAAGAATTAGTGGCAAAATTCCATCTAACGGTCAGTAATAAGACCAGTACTATTTTCAGGCGCAACCATCATTATAACATTATTTACAGCATTGCAAACTGCACTTTTACGCTGATGATACACAAGTCTACCGCAAATTTGACGTTGACAGTGAGAAATCTTACGAAATTTAACATTAATTCCGATCGAAAAAACTTTCATCTTTCTTCTCTGCACTTCCTACCGAACGATGTCAACATCAATTCATAAAAGACTATATCCGGCACTAGTTAGTCCCTCTTAGAAAAAAAATTGCTACGAACATGTATAGGAAGGAATTAAATGGATCATGTCAGTCAAAAGAGTCTCATAAAATTAGTCCAGAGTCTCCATAGAATTGACAACATTGGGATCAACTCGAATAGTTTTCGGAAACAAAAGTAAGTAGCATCAAGCGTCTTGTTAATTTATTCTTTAAGTGTAGTTAGCGAAAGTACACAAGTATGATATTATCTATTACAATTTTATTTAATACAGATAATAGTGGCGAATCTCTCATAAAAGGTGTATAAGATGACCTCCATCTTCGTGCCTGCAAATACGGCGCAAAAAATATATCTAATTAATTTTATCCAAGATGTCATTATTCTTTGATGCATTTGCAGCATTTTGGATCCCGTCCCACAGTTGATTGGCGTTGTTTATCTGAACATCATATATCCATGTTAATGCTTCCCGTATGAAAAAAATCTCAGGTATTAAGATCAGGGGCAGGAGGTGACCATTGAATAGGAGATTCCTGACCTCTATCTATCCATCTACCATCGAAAAAACATGTCTCTTCTTACATTTCCACCAACCAGATGCCTACTAGATTTTAACACTTGACGTAATAACAATTTATTTAGCAACCAGCTCCGAAAAATATTTTTTTTCTCGAAAACGATGCGAGATGGCATGTTTTTATAAGAGACCAAAAATGAAGTAAATAAGATCTTTCAAACAAAAAAAAGCAGGGTCCTTGTAGAGTTGAGAAATTATAGATATACTAAGTGACATATCAATCCGAACACCCAGTTTAAATGGTTTTATTTTAATAAAAGTTGGTGAATGTATTTTCTTACTGTAAATAACAAGTGAAAAAATTTACAGCCTTATCAGTTGGACATTCCGGTTTTTATACTGCTTTTTTTTAATTCACTAACGCTCTAAAAATGAATATTTCAGCCGCAGTAAAGAATCAACGTTGGCGGATTTTGGTTCTTGACATCCTTTACGATCGGTTACGGTGCCTAGAGTACGGAGACCTGTACGATTTCGTCAGCTTAGTGAGTTTGATAGGGGCCGTATAGTGGGACTTCGGGAAGCTGGACTTTCTTTTCGGGCAATTGCAGTTAGAGTGCAAAGAAGTGTAGACACTGTGGTTAGGTGTTGTCAGGCATGGCTTCGAGAAGGCCGTACGCAAAGAGCAAGGGGCACTGGACGCCGCCGTAGAACAGCAGACCGTGAAGATCGCCAGCTAAGATTATTGGCCTTAAGGGACCGCTTCTCCACTACCAGGTCCATTGCAAATGAATGGTTTGCAGAACACGGAAGACCTATTGGCATGCGAAGTGTTTACCGACGAATGAGAAGTTTTGGCTTGTTTTCATACCGGCCACACTGAGTCCTCCCTTTGACTCGAGAACACCAACGTAATCGCCTTGAGTGGTGCAGACAACGGTCACTCTGGGATCAGGAATGGAACAGTATTGTCTTTAGTGACGAGTCTCGATTTTGATTAGGCATGCACGATGGTCGTGCCAGGGTTAGAAGGCGACGTGGTGAAAGGATGAATCCACAGTTTTTTGTTGAAAGACATGTTCATCACACTGTTGGAGTTATGGTTTGGGGTGCTATAGCTTATGGTTCCAGGTCACCTTTAATCTTCATCAGAGGTAACATGAACGCGCAGCGTTATATCCACGAAGTTCTAGAACCCCATCTTTTACCCTATCTTGACACCCTGGCAGATCCAACTTTCCAAAACAAGATAATGTCCGACCACATGTTGCAAGACTCACAATAGACTTCTTTCAACATAATGATGTCACATTGTTACCATGGCCACCAAGATCTCCCGACTTATCCCCAATTGAGCACGTGTGGGATATGATGGGTAGGAGATTGCTCAATTTGCAACGTCCTCCTCAGACTCTAGAAGCACTTCGAGAGGAGTTGGTGGTTGCCTGGAATGAGATACCACAGGAGGACATTGACCACCTGATCAGAAGCATGCCTAGGCGCGTTGGAGAATGCGTAGCACATCAGGGTGCATCCACACATTATTAAAGTTTCAAAGGGATTTAAAGCAGTGCAATCATTTTGAAATTTTTATCATTTACTTATTATGCTTCATTAAGTACTTATACAAAATTTTATTAAAATAAAACCATTTAAACTGGGTGGATTTATATGTCACTTAGTATATATATATATATATATATATATATATATATTTCAGCCCTTCTCAAATCCTTATCGGTTTTTTGTTAAATCCAAATATTAGGACGTTCAGCAAAACATGTGCATTGCAAATGGCATTCAAATCGGACTATCGCTTCCGAATTTAACTGAAAAAATGCGTTATTCACGTCCAGTGTAATTATCTCGAGTCTGAGAATACATGGTACTTCTATGTCCACAGAATATTGGGACACCCTGTATAAGATTCTTCAAAGAACACATGTATGTGAAGAAGTACACTTTTGTCGGGACTATTGATAGAAACCTAAGCTAAAGTATCATAATGATGTTACAATTGTCGTGTTTCACCAACTGATGGCCAACTTCAAAGCGACTAGCGACGGCTTTGGTGAGAACGGTTTCTACAGCTCGCATAATTTAACCATTACGGATTTCGTGGATAAAAAAATTGCAGCAGATAACTCTTTGCCCCAGTTGTTTGAATCACCTTATATCTGTATACACCTTCGTGTTGGCATGCAAACAAGTGGCTGTGGTAGTTGGCATCGTCCAGCTATTCTTCTGCCGAGATCGAGCCGAGTCGAGCCTATGGCTATTGGTCGTTGCTTCGTTGGTACTGCTGCTGCATCAGCCATTATTATCTAGATGAATTGCAAACACAAATTCAAGTTTTACTCGTCGTTTATTTTTGTTTGGTGGCCGGTGGATCGGCGATACTATACACGAGACTATTAGATTGTTTTTCTTTTTTCTGTAGATACAGGGTGCTGTGTATCTATACTTATCGCCCTTCTAATGCTTGAGAAAAGTAATTTTCTAATAGTTTTTAAGTACACAAAATGTCTCAAAATAGGTGAGCAAGCATACGGACTCACAAGAAACGTAGAAAAATAATGAGACTACTTTCTATAAAGAAAGGAACGCCACTGAATATAGGATTTTTTTCAATAACTTCTGAGCAACACTGTGCTACTCAACGAAATTTTGACAGCATAGTAACTAATAAAGAATTCACCCAAGCAGAGACGAAGAGGAAATAGAGAATATGCTTTTACCTTCTGGCTCCAAGAAAGGGAAAGTAATCAAGAAAAAGTGAGCAATAGTAGACACTGCAAGCAGCGATGAAGAGGAAGTTGATACTAAGTTTTCTTTTGCTTCTAGTTATTCACTGAATTTATCAGAAGAAGAAAAATCTGAAAATACTACAAGCGCAAACCTCAGAAGCTTCGAGGGTTCTATACCCGAAAAAGATGATTTTGTTGCAGTTGAGTACGATGGTGATTACTGGTCGGGGCAGGTGGACAGTAGAAAGCGACGGAGCCTTTATAAAATGCATGGCAAAATGTGGAAAACTGTGGAGATGCCCAGAAAGAGAGGACTGCATATTTTATGCCACAAACGAAATTAAGTTTTCCATAAATGCTCCAAAGCAAGTTTCAACCAAACGTCATCTTTTCAGTGTCCCTGCCCTGAGCTTGCTTAATTAGGTATAACCGTTAATAAAGTTTTTGTTTTGTTTATTTTAATTTTTTGACTTACCTTTTACTTCGATAAATTGTGCTACAAAGGCAGTTTTTAGTATTAATCTTACGTATGTATTACTTTTATTACCATAGAAATTGCAAATATTGAGTGACTATTATTATTTAAATATGTAAAATAAATGAGTTTTGAAGTTCTTGTGAGTGAAATATTTTTTTTTAAATATAATTTTCATTGCTTGACACTAATGTTGGGTTATATGCTTCCAACAATAGTTACCTATCGACTTATTGCAATAAATTCCTTATGGATCATAGATGTGTCCACAATTATGGTCCAAAATTTAACAAAAAAAAAATGTTAAACTTAAACAATAGTTTGAAAAAAACAAAAAATATCAACTAACTTCTTAAAAACTTTTAAGTCTTGCTACTCCATAAGAATGTTTTAAAGTAAGTCAGGTTTTAAGTTATAACGCGTATTCCAAAAAATCACTAAAAATTGGACCATTCTCGTGTGAAATTACGGTACAGTTTTCAATTATGATACAGGATTCAATATAGTGGTTTTACGTAATCAAGTTTTAGGTTCTTGTATAGCAGAAAAACCGATTGCCAAGTTATTGGAATCCTATTTAGGGCCATATCGACAGTCGATCCTAAAATTGGAGCACCCCTTGATTTTCATAGTATCTCCTATCATTCAGAAAGGCAGAGGTATTCCTAGATTTATACTGTTTTGTGTCAGCGTTTGATTTTGAGGTTATATTTTCTTTTTGAATCCCTAGAAATTTCAGGCTGATGAAACTTATCTTTTTATCATCTGTTTTGTCAGACTGAAATTTTCAAAGATTCAAAAAGAAAACATGACCTCACTATAGCTGTCGCTGACACGTTACAGTAGAAACCTAGAAATACCCCTGCCTTGCTGAAGGAGAGAAAAGATTGTGAAAATCAAGGAGGCCACAAAGGCCTCCCTACAATTATAGGAGTCACTGACGATACGGCCCCGAATGTAGTAACATGTGAGTAATGTAAGTTGGCGCGATATATACGATTTCGTCAGCCTTTCTTGACTGATTTTGTAGTCCTTCTGATGAGATATTTTGATAAGCAGACAATATTGCCAATATATCGGAAACGGTACTAGATACGAATACGGTTAAATGGGGACAAAGTTGGGCGTTAAGGTAAGGAAATGGCACTCGGGAAGTTTCCCAGTTCAGATTATCTCTGGAGATAGACAAAAAGAACTGAATTTTCTCGAAATCGTTAAATTTTTACATGACTTCAGAATATCAAAATAATAATAATGATGGTTTTTAATTTATAAGTGATTAAAAAACAACTAATATTGGCACTGACAAGGACAGTTTATCTTATATTTATTCGATTAAATCATCATTGCTTCAGTTTTTGAGAAGCATGTTTTTAACACATTCTAATAATCTGTCCATTTATCTACTATGACAAGAATTATTTAAAAATGGTGAGGGCGCTTTACATGTCACCCCAGCCGCAGATCAATAGTACATGACTGCAAGATGTCTGCATAGGTTTAGATATGGCAGATATGAAATGCGTTCAGGAAGCTGCAACTTTGTAGAAGTTTTTATTTACTCCTAAGTGTCTTATCTGTTACACAAAATGGTGCTACCTTTATTGCATTCACCTTTAAAAAATGTGGAAAAGTTTCAGTATTGGGTTGATACTTATTCGATCAATAGACCAACTACAACAATGTTTTGTAATATCAATATATGTCATGATCTGTGTAATATGACGTCTTTAAAATAGTAAATGAGAACTGTTTACCTGTGCTTAGTTCATCAAAACTGAAGGAACACTTTTCGGATGGCATTGACTATCGGATGATTTCAATGTCTACTTAGGCAATTCTGTTTTATTTTAATAATAATATATGGAGATATCAATATACAGGGTGGCCCATAAGTCCTTTGAGCTGGAAAAAAAGGAATAAAACCAAACTAGTTACATTATGAAGAATTATTATATTTTGATATCATCTTTATTGAATGGGAATTATGTTTTAAAAATCACATCGTCTAAATGCAATCCATTACGATCACGGCACTCATATAAACGACGTCTAAAATTGTCGATGACTGCGCGGCAAGTCAACACTGTAATGCTTGGCATTTCTCTTATTTTATTTCAGGACATCAACCGATCGCGGAGTGGTGTCGTACACTTTACTCTTGAGGTAGCCCCATAAAAAGAAGTCCATTGGGGTCAAATCTGGACTACGTGGTGGCCAGGAAATGTCTCCTCTTCGAGAAATTACTTTGTTTGGAAAAAGTTGACAGACGGCGGGTATAGAAGTGTTGGAGGTGTGGGCAGTTGCTCCGTCCTGTTGAAACCAGGTCTGCGTATTATAGCCTGGAAAATTCTGCAACGCTGGTGTCAAAAACTCTTCTATCATTGCTACATACCGCTCCGAAGTAACAGTTAATGCGCGACCTCTGTCGTCCTCAAAAAAATAAGGGCCTACGATGCCATGCGTTGACATAGCAGCCCAAACTGTAACTTTAGGGCTGTGTAAGGGCTTCTGATGCTTACGCCTTGGATTTTCGGGGCTCCAATAACGGCAATTTTGTTTATTTACATGCCCGTTTAAATGGAAGTGAGCCTCGTCCGAGAACAACACATTATTGAGCGAAGAAAATCGATTCAACATTTCATTCGCAAAGTTTAGTCTCTGAATAGCGTCATTATCTTTTAATTCCTGCACTAACTGAATTTTGTAAGCGTGCAGACGTAAATCTTTCCTTAAAATCAGCTGTAAAGATGTTCTGGGTACGTTTAGTGCACTGGAACGCTTACGAGTAGACTGGGTAGGATTTTGACGAACAGACACAATGTTGATGTTTTCTTCAATACGAGGTGTCCTTGGTCGACCCCACCGCTGTTTATCTAACGTCGAACCAGTCTCTTCGAACTTAGCAACTCAGTTCTTAATCGTTTGAGCTGTTGGACACTTTGTAAAATTGTGTAAATTGTGGTATTCTCGATATTTACGCCGCGCAATGGTTGCCGAATCATTATTTTGATAAAACGCGCGCACACAAAAAGCACGATCCGCTCCAGTGAAACACTCCATGGCGACTGAATTCCCAGACACTGAAGCTCCTGCCCCCACCTCGCCCGCGCCACTCAAGCTCACCCGTTAAATTGTATTCAAATTTGAAATTTCAAAGGACTTATGGACCACCCTGTATAACATTATACATTCTTGGAATTAGACCTATTTACTCTACTTACCTCTACAAAAATTCCGTACGTAGTCAGTAATAGAAAATAAAGTTAATAATTGAGGACCAGAGACCTCACATTGAAATTTTAAGTATGCCACTTTGTAGAGAAGAAAATGTGGCAATCTTAATGTGTCTTTTATTGTGCAATGCCATCACAAAGTCAGGAAGAAAAATGTTTTTGGGAAAATTTGGTTCCTTCCCCCACCCGGTATAGCTGTTATATTCCGGCATATGTGGCCGGGGCACAAATGTTGCACGTTTAGAAAAACACAGGCAAATTTCGTCAACACAAATCTAAATAAATTAGATTAACAGATAAAATCTACCATCAGTATGTTATGATTAGACATAACAAGAACTTTGGCTGCAGCATGTTAAACTCTGATAGTCGCAGACATACATGCTAAATCCTAATAGCAACTGGCAAAACATGCATAGGTAAAGTCGACCTAGTATTGAACAACCAATAAATCCATATTCCTATAACCTTGCATATTTTTTCAATGGCTCGCCTACACTACACAAGGTTAGTCTGGTTTTTTCCTCGTAGTCGTTTCATAATATGAATACCATTGGAGTGAAAAAATGTTACAGCTGTTCTGCAGTGACTATTTGCAAGCCTGATGCAAGTTGCAGTGTTGCCAATATAAAAAATAACAATTGTTGCTCAAAGGGATTGTGAACAGATTCGTACAATTAAACAGGTTCTGCTAAGAAACATTCCTCCTAAGGGTGGATTTCACCAGGGTTGTCAAATCAACAGTCCGTTATTCTCCACCTACAGGGTAACAGTCCGTCAAATACAGCGAATGAGCTTCAAGTTCCAATCAACAAATTTTAGCAACCAATAGCTATGAAATGTTGAAAACAAAATACTGTCAAAGTATGAGATGACAGCTTGTCATTGAAACATCAGCAGCTTATTGAATATTAAGAAATTACCAAAAATTTCATAGATATTGCTCGTTTCCAAACATTCATTCATTTAGTTGCCGTTCATCAGTACCGTTACAGCACCGTCGACTGATATTCCCACAAAAGCATTCAGGATTTTTGATATCCATACATCCATAAAGTCATATATTTTTTGGTTGTTCAGGAATTGAACAAACATCCACACTATATTTATAGCGATTAAGAAATATTTTTAAGGCAACCGTTTTTTTCACGACTGTAATCAACATTTCAATAGAAATCACTGATATTCAGAGATCTTTGACATCTTCCGTCAAATTGCATTTCGATAAGGTCTTTTCCTATTGGTCCAACTGACCGTCAAATATGAATATTGGTGAAATTGGCCCTAAAAAACATATAAAATGCAACACCCAATATATATCAAAGTATCAGTCGTTTCCGTTGGTTACCATACCATGTGTTGTGATTGCTACGGAAAATACATGCAATGAAGGTTTTAATTTTTCTTGTACCGAAAATGCAGTATGTACCCACATAATACAGGGTGATTCACAAGTCGTGACCAAAAATGAAACATCATACACATGACCACATTTTAAGTCTGCTTTCCTAGATGGAGGTAG